TATGATCCCATCACTGTCAATAGACATTGGCCCTGTAGACATTTAGGTTTTGTGACGTATTAATGTCGCAGTAGGCCGGGAATTGAACCAGTCCAGATTTAAGGGTTAAATCTTAGAATGGAACTTTACAAACTAAAAGTCTCTTCACAGTTTTAACAGTTTTTGCAGTTTTTGCAGTGTGAGGAACATCTCTCAACATCAGCGGTCTCCAACGCATCGCTTGCGAGCTACCAGTAACTTCCCGCTAGGTAGCTTGCAATATTGTTTGAAATGGTATATGAACATAAATGCTATGTATGAGTGCCCCGCCCCCCCACTGGCCCATATTGACTCCAGCCCATATTAAGTTCCCCGTCGCAAATTTGTACAAATGTCTTTGTTTCATTTTCATTATTGTTTCCCTGAGAAGCAACAGAAAAGAAAAAATAAAAGGTTGTGTTTATTGACTGGTCTGGGGCGGGTTGCCAAGTTTCCTCTGCCCCTGTCAGCATCAATACCCCCACCCCCCACAAACACACTCACATCCTCAGTAAAGTGACACCAGATTCCAAAAGTGGCTCCTTACACCGGCCAAGACAGCAACAGCCGAGGCCGCGGCGGTGGACTGCGTTTGTAAACACGTAGTACTACAGTCCAAACCAACATCTGTCGTTATTCAGTGATAGATTCTTTTTTGTTTTTGTGTCAGTTCTTTTTATTCTTCCACATTTATAAAAAGTTCCACCAGCGTCTGTCCAAAACATCACCTGTTTCTCACCTAATTATTCAGGCATGTCCTAAAACAATTACACGGTCGGAGAACGCTGTACAGCTCTGTTAATGCTGCAGAGGTCAGTGAGCAGTGTCTTCATAAATAAGTCAGAGGTCATCGGAGCCAACATGGCCACAGTTGACGTAGTTCAGCAGTTAAATCATTAGGCCACGCCTTCAGCGTATTTATTTATCATTACTGTGTATTTCCTGTAGTGTAGGACGTATATATTTTTTATATTTTTGGAGTGGTTAAAATGTCACATTACGTCATTTTTCCTTCAAGGTAAATTTCAGAATATTGTGTGTGTGGGTGGGGGTGGTGGAGGAGGGTCTGTTTACATGTCCAGTCAAACACACAGATGGCGAACATGACACTGACTGAGCTTTTCCGAGATTTCTTCCTCTAGTTTTTCCGTTTCCATGTTTGGTGACACATATTCCGTGCGTGTCTGTTTGTACACGCTCAGGTGACAGAGAGAGCAGGGCAACTTGACACTCTGTACAGTAATATGTAAGGTCAATTTGCACCTCTCCACGGCCCAGTGAGTGACACTGTGGACTGTGAAATACCCCCCCACCCCCCAAGAGGCATCTTACAGTATGATACGGAACAGGATTAGATGGTAGCTGTGGTAATGAAGTCGACAAGTTCTGAGACAAAATGGATAAAAGAAAAATCTTACATATTCTCTATTTAGTCAAAATATCAGATGGATAAATATTGGTTGCTAAGATTGAACAATTTCAACAATTTCTCTTTAATTTCAGAAACTGGATTTCTGTTTCCACCCCGCCTCCAAAAATAATTAATAATAATAAAAAAAAATCTAAGTCACTCAATCCTTAAATAAATAAATGAATAATCCTGACAATGTGAACTACAATGGTTTTTATTCCTTGCAGACAAAACTCAGGGTTCAAGTTCCCTTATAAACACAAGCACCTGAGACCTCAGACCTATCAAAGATGGCTGCCCAGTCTTATGGCCTGTGAGTGGCTTAGCTTTAGCTTGAAGCCAAAACTACTGTTAATAACATTCACTCTGTAAATATCCAATAAAAAACTCTTCCCTTGTGTACATAACACATTAAAAAGGCAGAAAAAAAAGAAGATGGAGAGAAAAAAAACTTCCACCTGAAGGAGCTTCAAAGAGGGAGTAAAGAGGCTAATGCTACACCTGCTGTGGGGCTAACTGAGCTAGCGGCTCTACTTTCTGCTGAAGTTGAAGAGGAAAAAGCTAAGCTGCTCTTCAGAAAAGTGTAAGTACCTGCTGTTTGTGTTAGCCTGTGTTAACATGCCAGTGTTGGAGTGTGTCTCCTGGTTGTGTTCAGTCATGTTCTGGAAGATAACTCTGGTTGTGAGTCAGTACTTTGCTCTGTAGCTGTGGGTGGTGTTTGAATCTTACTACTGAACTCCTGTGGAGGCTGAGCTTCGTGTTCTCTGCCGGCTGTGGTTTCTCTGGTGCCACTGTTGTGTTGCGGAATATGAAATAATTCCTTAATCATATTGGTGGCACCCTCGGTTTACGTGTTTATGTGCTGAATCACAGTGTTCTAATATAGTGATGAAGGGTGAGGTCAGTGGAACACACCTTCAGATGACCAGGAGAACTAGGAAACTAGTCCTACTGTAGGACGTGGCCTCGAGAATGACTGTGTTTATATGTATATTTTAAATTCCTGATTATTTTAGGAACTAAATTATTTCTAGATTGTGTGCGTTTTTGTATTTTGCTCTACTATGGCCATATGACCTGTCTGGGATTCCATTAATTAACTCCATTAATTCCACAGAATTACAGTTATTTAAAAATGTACTTTCAAGTTAGGAAAGAAAAAAAATGCTAAAAGTCTTAGCTTATCTTTTACAGTTTTTCATTCAATTTGGTTAAAATTAAAATGAATGTTTGTTGTTAGTTTCCAAAATAGTTGTTTTGTTTTGGGTTTTTTGCTCTGATTCAAAAACAATTTTATATTTTAGGGTTTAAACAAACGATTGAATAAAAAATATCTAAACAGAGCATATATTTGAATTTTGTTTTCTTTGCTTTGTAGCTAGGATATTTGAATTGTGGTAATTTTATGCAATCTTTTTATGCATGTAAATACATGTTTATGCATGTAAATACATGTTGGTCTGATGGTATTTCTAAAGATTTTTCCACTTTAAAACACCTCTCTTATTAAAATGTTACATATTTTCAAATGAAACTCTCTGTCTTTGTCTAATATTTAGCTGGGGTTTTTTTATTATTATTTTGTCATGGTGGCACTCCTGCAGTGATTCAGCCTGGTCTGTCTTTCCTAATGGATAAGGTAATAATAATAATGAGTAATTTTTTAATATTACACATTCTTCAGTCTGGTCTGGGCACGTCGTGGAGAAATATGTTGCCTGCGGTCATGTGGAGCGTGGCTGAGCCAGGAGCTGTGTTGAAGAAAGTGGGTTTATTAAATGGAAGGAAAGCCTCTGTAGTCGTCACGTTGATAACGTGGTATTTTTAACCTTGGTAAATCGACCCATCGATTGATTGGTGTTTAAATGTCTCTCCAGGGGAAAGGGACACTCACTGGGGGGGAAATCAATTAATTGGGAAACCATTGGATCCTAAAATCAATAATCATCCAACTTGACACTTAACAGACGTGACCTGAGGACTGCTGACCAGAGGTCAACTCCATCTGTGTCCAGTCAGTTCATCACGTCGACCAAGTGAAGGGTAATCGGAGGTTATAGAGAAATTTCCATCTCAATGTTCTTGGTTAGCATTTTAAAGACCATCGATCCTGTCACTCCTTTGGACTCTGAGGGAGTTTGGCTTCAATTTTGTTTTGGCTGCGTCTAATTTCAGTCACTGTGAAAGACGCCATTATCCCAGGCTTTGTTTGGTTGTCAAATCACATTTTGTTGTTTTCATGGTTACAAAGACAGAG